ATTATCTCAATTGATGAAAAGAAGGCCTTTGACAAAATTCAACAGCCCTTTATACTAAAAACCCTCAATAAACTAGGTATTCACAGAACGTATCTCAAAATAATAAAAGCCATTTACGACAAACAAACAGCCAATATCATATTGAATGGGCAAAAACTGGAAGCATTCCCTTTGAAATCTGGCACTAGACAAGGATGCCCGCTCTCACCACTCCTATTCAATATAGTACTGGAAGTTCTAGACAGAGCAATCAGGCAAGAAAAAGAAATAAAGGGTATTTGAATAGGAAAGGAGGAAATCAAATTGTCTCTATTTACAGACAACATGATTGTATATCTAGGAAATCCGGTCTTACAGTTATTAAGGAGAAAATTCTTAGAGTCATCCTTAATTCCTCACATTTTCTCATATACCATGTCCACTTCACCATGAAATCCCATCATATCTGACTTAAAAATATGTCCAGCATCTCTCCATTTGTCTCTCACTCCATGCTTCACTTTTGATCTTAGCTGCTTTCCCTCTTTTACAGCAATGCTGCAAGTGCCTTCTAACTGGCTTTCCTGGGTCCACCTTTGTTTTCTCTCCCCATCCATTATCAACACTATAGCCAGATTAATCTTCATAAAATAGAAGTTAGATCACGAGACTTTTCTTTGAAAGACCTGAATTGGCTCTAAGTAAAATCACTCTAGGTTAAAGCCAAAGTCCTGAAATGGCTTACATAATCTATCCCTCACCCTCTCTTCTTATCTACAAATATTCTACATTTCAAGGAATAGCATCCACCTCCCACTCATCAGCTTAAGCAAGAAACTTTAGAGCCTTCTTTGAACTCTTCCCCTTCTTTTTTTGCATATCCAACGACCATAACTTGTTAATTACTCTTTCCCTGTTTAAGAGAAAATATAAATTGGTCTCTTAAACCAATTTATTTATATTTTCTCCTTGCTATGAAACTATTTCTCCCCTTCTCCAATGTCACTTCCTCTCATATCTACTACATATTAATACTAGAGTGATCTTTCTAGTTAAATGTAGACCTATTTGTATCATTCCCCAGACTGTATAACACCAAAGCTTTTTAATTCTAACAACCTTTTTTGATGATTCACAAGTTAAAGCTTTAATCACAATTCAAGCTACTTTTAAATGGCCTTCTGTTATAATAAATTCATTGGTTCACTTAAAAGTGTTTTGCAGCATACAATTTATTTTTGAAGATATATTAGTCTTTGTTCAATTAAATGCCATTTTGGTCAAGATTAATTCTTTTGTGCGTGCAATCATTTATAAAATGAAATGTAGATTAATAAGTAAATTTAAATTATACTTCTGAGTCAAGAAAAGGTCAGCTATCTTGGGATAAGCTTGGTTAGCTACCTTGGCATACCTTGTACAGACTTACAATAGGCCCCTCTATCCTAAAGCTACTACAGATTTCAAAGAATAACATTTTAAAAACAAAAAATAATATTAAGCAATAGCTGTGATATATTAAATAATAACATTAGTTGTCAAGGTTTACAAAATGTATTCACATAAGCTCATTTGTTACTACAATCACCTAAAGAGTAGATATTATTTCCACTTTCAGAGGAGCAAATTAAATATCAGCAAAGTTATGGCTTTTGATGGGAAATATCTAGCAAATTGGTGATGGAACTAATTCTCAAACTCATTCTCTTTAAATATATAGCTGGTGGCAATGTCTCTGAAGTATAACAAATTAATTATGTGTAAGCTAACAAAAGGCTACTTTTGCAAGTAGACAAATACCTTCCTTAAAAGTTTTCCTTTTTAATGTAAAGCAAAACAAACTGTTCTTTCACATTATTACTAAATATCAGTCTATCCTAGAATTGTTTAGGTAATGTGGAGGTGATATATTATCTTAGAAAACCATTGTAACATGCTATTTGAAACCATTTCAACTGTCAAAAGGTTAGATGGATTTCAGTTCTGTTTAAAGGTCAGACCTGAAAATATCCTGATGATTACAATTTCTCCACACATTTGGATGTTGCCGCTGAACTCCTGGCAGCAGCAAAATGTGTTTGTTCTGATCCTCTGCTCCTGGTGGTCAATATCAGAATAGAGAGAAGGCACTAGGACTTTGGGACTAGACCTAAATTTCTTTTGCTTTTAATTAAAAGAATAAAGAGGAAAAAGTAATATTTCTATCCACCCGAGACAGAAAAGTTTGTTGAAAAGAGATTGAAAATATTCAGAAAATTGATCATCCCCAAAGCAATGTACTAACTAAAACAAAGCCAAGAAAGCCATTCTGAAAGGCAAGTATCAAAGCTTCTGCCATTGCCCCATTTTAGGATTTTAAATCTGGAACTAGTCATTCAAGTAAGTATTGTTTGAATAATAATTATATGCCCAGAAGCCTTCCATGGTCCACATACCACTTTTTTTTTTTTTTCACAAATCACATTTTATTTCTCCTGTCCTATAAAACTGGATCAAGTACATAGCAGACAATACATTTTAATGCTTACTGAATGAATGCTAGGCTTGATGAGAATACAAAGCTATTGCTACTACTACTAATAGTTACTAACATTTATTGAGTACTATGTGTCAGGCACTGCTAATCACTTTACATGCCTAACCACAGTACAGAGTAAGTTAATCTAATTAATTCATTGTTAATCTAATTCTAAAGTAAGAAAACTATAGCATGAAGAGATCAAGTCTCAGCTAGGTAAGAGGCTCAGTCTCACAGTTAGTAATCAAACTTTGGCAGTTTGACCTCAGTGCCTACAATATGCCAGAGACCAACCTATTGCAGCTTACATTCTAGAGAAAAGATAATAAATAAGTAAATAAGTAATCAACATGATTTTGTATAGCAAATAAGGCTATGGATAAAAGAAAATAAAATTATTTGATAGAAGTGACTAGAGTGGTAGAGAAAAATCGTTAAAAACATGAATGCTAGCACCAGGTTTGAGTTCATACCAGAGCTTTTTCCAGCTCTGTCATAATGGACTGTTAGTTATTTATGCTCTTTGTGTATCTCCTTATCTACAGATAATACCAAATTTATATGACAGTCATGAGGTTTAAATGAATTGATATACATAAAATGCCTAAAACAGTTCCTGACACATAGTGTCTTTAAGTATTTATTATTATTGTTATTTTTGCATCTTTATCATTATAATTCTTATCATATTGAGGACATCTACTTGAGATAGGGTGGTATGGGAAGGCCTCTATGAGGAAGTGCGTGTGAACCAAAACCTAAATGACACTCAGCTGCATGAAAATTTTAAAGCAGAGATTCCAGGCAGAAAGAACCAAAGTACAAAAGCCCTAGGACCAGAATGCTCAACAAAGAAGGCCAGTATGGTCCAGGATGGGTTCAGTCAAGTTACAGAGCTGGTCAAGAACCAGGCTGAACTGGGTATCACTGGATATGGTAAGGAGTTGGATTTTATTTTAAGTGTGATGAGAAGAAATGGGATCATTTTAAGCATGGTAATGACATGCTTTGATCTACATTTTATAAATGTCATTCTGGCTTCCATGAAAGTTCACATTATAACTTCCATAGAATATCAATCTTATCATTCCCAGTACTCACTTCCAGTAAAAAACTGAGAGTTTTTAAAATCTAAGCTTTATTCCCAGGGGAAAGTAATTCTCTGACTATATTTCTGGAATGTTTGTGTTAGTACTTTTAAACACAGAATCAGATTAAAGGATGTACGTAAGCATATGAGCATACATATATACTCACTGTGAACAAAGATAATATGGAATACTCACACAGACCACACTTCATTATTCTAAAATTCAAATTAATTCTATCTACTGTGTTTTTGAATCATGTCTGTTGAAAATAAAGTAATTAAATCATTTACTTACACGAAAGCTGACCATATGAATTGGGTCATTCTTGTTATACCCAACTAAACAATTATTGAGAGGTCAAGGTGAGAAAACATCTAGGGTGCATAACACTGTTCCAAAATGTAAGTCTCTATGAGCTTGGCTGCTGAAGCTGCCTGCTGTAACTTGAAACCAGTTTTATCTAATAGCTACTGAAACAACCTGCTGCAACTCTGAGAATAGTTTCACCCATCGCCATCACTTACCAATCAAAACTTGCCAGCTCACCAACACATTATTAGTGCCAATGAACTGTCTCAAAGAGCATTATGTAACATTTTCCTTTTTTTAATAAAACCTCTAACCATCTCTTCTTTCAACATAATGAAGACCATCCAGCTGTGAGTATGCCACAGATTGCAATTCTTGATTCCCAAATAAAACATTTAAAATTGAGAAATTTGTCTCTATATTTTATTTGTCTTTAACTCTTATTGTAAATTAGACGTCAGGGCAGGATATTCCTTGGGTCTCACTTCTCTTATTTCTAATATGTCCCCTGTCCTTACCAGGTGTTATCTCCTTGTGCCCAAAATAAAGAAAGCTTTGCAAATCTGATTGCATGGAACCAGGTATACTTTACTAGTGGGTGGTGTTATTCTTCTTAATCTTATCCTTGCACCCAGCATTTTCTCCCCCTGCACCTTTCCTTTCCAAGTTCATGTGGCTTAAATAGGTGAAAGCCAGCCTAGGCCACATTGTAATTCCTTCTTAGCAGACATCCTTGATATAAGTTCTCCAGCTTCAAAGCAGCTCTTAATAAAGTTGTGTGTTGATTAGTTGATACCACTGTGTGGTGAGGGGTAAATGGCAGTGAGTAGAACATTTTCAGGTTCCTGGTTTTTTTTTTTAACTACTATAATCGCATTAAATCATCATCTTTAATATCTAACACCAAAAGGCCATCCATGTATTCAAAAAGAATCTTACACCACACTGACAAAAATCTTAAAGCCCTACATTGCCACACATGGAGGTGAACTAAAAACACAATGCAATTTGTATGAAGACTCCTCCTAATTCCTCTACCTCTTAAAGGCTTTAGTCTTAAAATAAAAAAAATATATATAGCTGCATAAAGTGAACTGTTTTACCTGTATGGTCAGTTCCCTCATTCTTGACTTCTGTGGTTCCCACAGAAGAGGTGGGTGGACTAGCAGGAGGGCTGGCAGTAAAGCTTTTGCACCCTGTAGATGTGTTGATTTCAAAATATTCTTGGTTGTGATTCATTCGGTGAAAATCCAGAGAAGACACAATGGATGTTCGCTGTTTAGGCTAAAATAAATGAGCATGACAAGAGTATTAATATGATCATGTTCATCTTCAGCCCAATCTCCCCATCAATTTAATCTAAGTGTTAATTTTTTTTCTGTTAAAAACTATCTGTGTTTTATACTTAAAATATAATTGTGCTTTACAAAGATATATTAAATAATTTCTTGAATTAAATAAAAAATTGTTTAATGAGAAAATATTATGGCATAGTTGATGTGATAACTTAGGCTTTTCATTTGCTTTCTCCAGAAGATTGTAAAAATATAGTGCACAAAATTTCTCTTGGTAATCAATTTTGAAAGTTGCAATTTTAAGTCACCTTTCATTCAACTAACATTAAGCATCTGGCATTTGCCAGACCCAGAAGATACAGAATCTAATAAGAAAAGGGCCCTTACAACATCGAAGAATAGTTAAGGCAGTTCCATTTGTTTATTCTTTAAATAGTCCAAGGAATTAGTGGCATTAGATATTGTTCCCAAGCACAAGATGCTGGAATTTTACCATCGGAATTAAGTAAAGTTATATGGAACATTTTCTAGGATCTAAGAATATGCTTGGTATTTGTAGTGAACTTTGATTTTCTTTTTTAAGAATTTTAATTAATCCCCAAATAGCAAGAAAAGTCAATTTAAACATAAAAGTTAAAATCATGGAGTAATAGCAGATATAATCTGTACCCTTTGTCAGTAATGAATTACTTCCTATTGCAATTTTCTGGGATTTTTTTCCCCATAGTTTTAATTATAATCACTTTTTTTTTCTTGCCTAGTAGAGCTTCTAACATTGTCCTTTAGAAAAACTGTAGTCCTTTTGCCTCTCAAATGTGTGTGTTTTTCTCAGGAATTAACTCCAATTTTCTTACTTTTTATTTTTTAGATTATATTACTGAAATATTAAAAATCTCATAATAATTATGAGATCAAATGTAAACTTTTTATAATAAGGTAATGTTTATTGTACTTTACATTCCACAAAGTACAATTAACCTTTGGTTTGCTAATGTTTTTGTCACCCTCAAATATGTGTTAATCACTGTATTCCACAGATAATTTTCCTGCAAAATATTCAAATTACCGTCTCTTTCAGCTTATCATATCATTTTTTCCAAGTAGATATCATATCATTTAGTCTATAATCTAAAATAGATAATCATATGGAAAATATATGCACTGTACAGTTTTTAAAAATATAAGGTGTGTAAATTATCACAATATGATTTATTCTTTCACCAATATTTCACCAAATATTCTTATGAAAGATGTTGAGAGGTATAAATATTGTTATGCAAGAGAGTGCAAGTCATTTATTATTATGACACATCAACTCAGTAATAGAATTCAAATTAGTACCCCCAGAGGACTCAGTTGCTTTTGAAGTATAAAAGATCATGGTTTAATGTCAGGCTTGGTTTCTCATGAAATGTTTGTCCTTGGGACCACTGAATCTCAATTTCACTTTGAATGTCCTTTCCACTACATTCCATAACAGCAAATAGAAAGGCATTAGCTATAGCACTGGCTCCAATGGAGCACATCATTCTAGGCTTTGTTTTATTGTGTTGTGTTGTGTTTTTGTTTCACTTTATGTGTAGGCAATGGACCACATTTCTTATGTCTCTTCTCATAAATTTTAAAGGTCAAGCCAAATGATATATATGATTCCCCCACTTCTAAATGTTTTTTAAATATATGTTTCTGAATCCCGACCACCCATGGTTCTAATTGCTTTTAAAACACAATTTTTTATGCAATCATGAAGGCAAACAAGCTATTTTTGCAGTATTAATTCATTCTACAAATATTTGCTGAACGTATACTAAATTGCAGATATCATGCACCTAAGTACTGTGATAGGAATAAAACAAGTAAGACATTGCCCCTGTTTTCCATATGAATATAGACTTGAGGGGGGAGGAAGGATGGTGTATGAGGGAAGAAGAGACAAGCAATCCAATGATTATGCTTCAGTATCATATAGCAGTAAAGGTGATGAAACATGAGAAGCATTATACTTAATCATGCCCTAAGGCAGGGGTCAGCAAACTATGGCCTGTGGCTCAAATCTGGCCCTCTTCCTATTTCTATAAATGAAGTTTTATTGGAACAAAACTGCATCCATTGCTCACTCATTTAGTTATGGTCTATGGCTGCCCTCGGACTATAATTGCTGAGTTCAGTAGTTGCAATGCAAACCATATTTTCCACAATACCTAAAATATTTATTATGTCTGGCATTTTAGAGAAAATATTGGCCACTGCTGTTCTACAGAATTGTTTCACATATCAATTTAGTGCTCAATAAAACCATAATTATAGGTTCCCTTTTATTTCCCAGCCTGACTTGCATTTGGGTTAGGCCATGTGACTAATTGTCATCAAATAAAATAATTAGTAGAAGTGAGCTTTTCCTATCCCTTTCTTACTCTCCAGATGATGTAGTTGAAAGATGAAGGAAAGTAATTAAACTCACACTGGGTTTATGAAATGTTAAAGTGAACCTCCTTTTTTATATTTTTATTTTAAGTTCCAAGATATATGTGTAGGTTTGTTACATAGGTAAAAGTGTGTCATGGGGATTTGCTGAACAGATTATTTATCACCCAGGTATTAAGCCTAATACCTATTAGTTATTTTTCCTGATCCTCTCCCTCCTCCTACCCTCCTCCCTCGAATAGGCCCCAGTGTGTGTTTTTCCCCACTGTGTGTCTATGTGTTCTTATCATTTACTTTCCACTTATAAGTGAGAACATGTGGTTTTCTGCTTCTGCATTAATTTGCTCAGGTTAACAGCCTCCAGCTCCATCCATGTTCTTGCAAAGGACATAATCTCATTCTTTTTTATGGCTGCATAGTATTTCATGGTGTATATGTGCCACATTTTTTTTTCCAGTCTATCATTGGTAGGAAATGAGGTCCATGTCTTTTCTATTGTGAATAGTGCTGCGGGCCAGGCATGGTAGCTCACGCCTATAATTTTACCCAGCACTTTGGGAAGCCGAGGCGGGTGGATCATGAGGTCAAGAGATGAGACCATCCTAGTCAACATGGTGAAACCCCATCTCTACTAAAAATACAAAAATTAGCTGGGCATGGTGGTGCAACCTGTAGTCCCAGCTACTGGGGAGGCTGAGGAGAATTGCTTGAACCCAGGAGGCGGAGGTTGCGGTGAGCAGAGATCGTGCCATCGTATTCCAGCCTGGGTAACAAGAGCGAAATTCTGTCTCAAAAAAAAAAAATAGTGCTGTGATGAACATACACATGATATGTCTTTGTAAAAGAATGATTTACATTCTTTTGGGTATATATGCAGTAGTGGGATTGCTGGATTGAATGGTATTTCTAACTTTAAGTCTTTAAGGAATCACCACACTCTCTTCCACAATGGTTGAACTAATTTACACTCCTACCAATAGTGTATAAGTGTTGCTCTTTCTCCACAACCTTCACAGAATCTATTATTTTTTAACTTTTTATTATAGCCATTCAGAATTGGTATGAGATGGTGTCTCATTGTGGTTCTGGTTTGAATTACTCTAATGATCAATGATGTAGCACATTTTTCATATAATTGTTGGCTACATGTATGTCTTGTTTAGAGCAGTGTCTTTTGAGTATTTCTCACTTTTCTTTCTATTTTATTTTATTTTTTTTGAGACAGAGTCTCCATCACACAAGCTGGAGCATAGTGGCACGATCTCAGCTTAATGCAACATCTGCCTCCTGGGTTCAAGCAATTCTTGTGCCTCAGCCTACCAAGTAGCTGGGATTACAGGCAAGCATCTCCATGCCTGGCTAATTTCTGTATTTTTAGTAGAGATGGGGTTTTGCCATGTTGGTTAGGCTGGTCTTGAACTCCTGGCCTCAAGTGACCTACCCACCTCATCCTCCAAAGTGCTGAGAGTACAGGCGTGAGCCACCACACTCAGCCCTCAATGCCCACTTTTTAATGATGTTGTTTTTTTATTGTAAATTTGTTTAAGTTTCTTATAAATGCTGGACATTAGACCTTTGTCAGGTGAATAGTTTGCAAAAATTTTCTCCCCTTCTGTGGGTTGTCTGTTTACACTCTTAATAGTTTCTTTTGCTGTGCAGAAGCTCTTTAGTTTTATTAGATCTCATTTGGCAATTGTTTCTTTTATGCCAATGGAAGGAACACTTATACACTATTGATGGGAGTTTTAATTAGTTCAACTATGAAGACAGTGTAGTGATTCATCAAACAGAAATTTTGAGGATATTTTGAGGATATTCCTGTTCCTAAAAACAAAAATACCATTTGACCCAGCAATCTGATTACTAGATATATAACCAAAGGAATATAAATCATTCTATCATAAAGACACATGCACACTTATGTTCACTGCAGCACTATACAATAACAAAGACATGGAATCAACCTAAATGCCCCTCAGTGACAGATTGGATAAAGAAAATGTGGGATATATAAATATATACCATGGAATACTATAGAGCCATAAAAAAGAATGAGATCATGTCTTTTTCAGGAACATGGATGGAGATGGAGGCTATTATCCTTAACAAACTGATGCAGGAACAGAAAACCAAATATTGCATGTTCTCACTTATATGTGGGAGCTAAATTATGACAACTAATGGACACATAGAGAAGAATAACACATACTGGGCCTATTGGAGAGTAGAGGGTAGGAGGAAGGAGAGCATCAGGAAAAATAACTAATAAGCACTAGGCTTCATGCCTGGGTGACAAAATAACCTGTACAACAAACCCCCATGACACAAGTTTACCTATGTAACCTGCATATGTACTCCTGAACTCAAAATAGAAGTTAAATTAAAAATTTTAAAAAAGAAATGAGAACAAAGAAGATACTTTGAGGAAACTCAACAAAATTCAAGATAATGTAGATAAGGAATTCGGAATACTATTTATCTAATAGATAAATTTTAAAAAGAGACTGAAATTATTGAAAAGAATCAGGCAGAAATTCTGGAGCTAAAAAATGCAATTGGTATACT